CCTCAATGGGGAAAAACTGAGAGCCTTCCCTCTAAGATCAGGGACGAGACAGGGATGCCCACTCTCTCCACTGCTGTTCAATATAGTACTGGAAGTACTTGCAATAGCGATTAGGCAAGAAAAAGATATTAAGGGCATTCAGGTAGGAAAGGAAGAAATCAAGCTCTCACTATTCGCAGATGATATGATACTCTACTTAGAGAACCCAATAACCTCCACCAAAAAACTCCTAGAAACAATAGACTAGTATAGTAAAGTTGCAGGTTATAAAATCAATACCCAAAAGTACATGGCTTTCCTACACGCAAACAGTGAGAGAGAAGAAAGCAACATGAAAAAAACAATCCCGTTCACAATTGTGCCCCAGAAAGTCAAGTACCTAGGAATCAGCTTAACTAAGGAACAAAAGGACCTGTACAAAGAAAACTACAAAACGCTACTTCAGGAAATAAAAGAGGACATGAGGAAATGGAAAGATATTCCCTGCTCATGGGTCGGGAGACTTAACATTGTCAAAATGGCAATACTACCAAAAGCATTGTATAAATTCAATGCAATCCCTATAAGGATACCCATGACATTCTTCAAAGAAATGGAGCAAACACTCCTGAAATTTATATGGAACAATAAGCCCCCACGAATAGCTAAAGCAATTCTTGGGAAAAAGAAAATGTGAGGAATCAACCTCCCTAACTTCAAACTGTACTACAAAGCAGTAATAATTAAAACAGCATGGTACTGGAACAAAGGCAGAACTGCAGACCAATGGAACAGGGTTGAATACACTGACATCTCCCCTCAATCATATGATCATCTAATCTTTGATAAAGGTGCAAGTAATGTGAAGTGGTGTAAGGAAAGCCTCTTTAATAAATTGTGTTGGCATCATTGGACGGCTACATGCAAAAAAATAGACTCAGAACTCTGCCTAACACCATGTACAAAAGTAAGATCAAAATGGATTAAAGACCTCAACATCAGACCAGAAACCATAAGGTACATTGAAGATAAAGTTGGCAAAACCCTCCATGATATTGAAGCTAATGGTGTCTTCAAAGATGCCATGCCACTGGCCAAGCAAGTGAAAACAGAGATAGATAAATGGGACTATCTTAAACTAAGAAGCTTCTGCACCTCCAAAGAAACAGTGACCAAAATACAAAGACAGTCTACAGAATGGGAAAGGATATTCGCCGAATACACATCTGACAAGGGGTTGATATCCAGGATATACAAAATACTGGTTAAACTCCACAAGAAGAAAACATCCAACCCCATCCAAAAATGGGGCAATGAAATGAACAGAAACTTTCTCAAAGAAGAAATCCAAATGGCAAAAAAGCACATGAGAAAATGCTCTACATCATTAATCATCAGAGAGATGCAGATCAAAACCACAATGAGATACCATCTCACACCTCAGAGACTGGTCCACATTCAAAAGAACAAAAGCAACCAATGCTGGCGTGGATGTGGCGAGAAAGGGACACTCCTTCACCTTTGGTGGGAATGTCCACTGGTTCAGCCCTTCTGGACAACAGTATGGACGATTCTCAAAAAATTAGAAATTGAGCTCCCATTTGACCCAGCAATACCACTCCTGGGAATATATCCCAGAGAGGCAAAAATGTATAGTCGAAGTGACATCTGCACTTGTTTGTTCATTGCAGCACTCTTTACAATAGCCAGAAACTGGAAGAAACCTGAATGCCCAAGAACAGATGACTGGTTAAAGAAACTTTGGTACATCTACACAATGGAGTACTATGTAGCTGTTAGAAAAGATGAAGTCATGAAATTTACATACAAGTGGTACAATATGGAAAGTATCATGCTAAGTGAAATGAGTCAGAAAGAGAGGGATAGACATAGAAAGATTGCATTCATCTGGGGGATATAAAGTAACAAAGTATGAGATTAATACCCAAGAATAGCTGAGATCAGCACCAGGATGATTACTCCATAACTTAGAGGCCAGCCGGGTATCCTAGAGGAAAGGGCAGTTCAGATAGAGAAGGGAGCACCAAATAAAGGATGTTTGGAGGATCCTCCCAGGAGGGGAGATGCATGTCGAAAGTAGACTATGGACTGAACATGTTTGCCACTCAATGCCTCTTTTGCAGACCACAACACCCAAAAGGAGAGAGAGAACACAGGGGATTGCCCTGCCACAGAGACAGGGGGGGATGGGGGGATGGGGGTGGGAGGGATATTATCCATGGTGGTGAAAAACGGGCACTGGTGGAGGGATGGGTATCTGATCATTGTATAATTGAAACCCAAGCACAAAAAATTGTAAATCTACAACTGTAAAAAAAAAATAAATTAAAAAAAAACACACACACAAAAAAAAGGAAAAAAAAAACCTCTGAGAAATAGTGAACCTATATAATAAACAAGCAGGCTACAAAAATCAAAGCACAAAAATCTGCTTTGAATCCACAGGTCTTTGTTCGAGTCCTGTTTGTTACCTGTCTTGTGCACCAACCGCCCAGATTCAGAGTTGCTTTTATTTATTTATTTTTAAAAATTTTATTTTAGGGGCTGGAGAGATAGCACAGCTGGTGGGGCATTTGCCTTGCATGCGGCGTACCTACCCGGGTTCAATTCCCAGCATCCCAAATGGTCCGCTGAGCATCGCCAGGCATAACTCCTGAGTGCAGAGCCAGGAGTAAACCCTGTGTGTCCCCAGGTGTGACCCAAAAAGAAAAAAATTAAAAAAAATTTTATTTTTATAGCTGTTCACAATGATTTATTACATTCAATATTCCAACAACAATCCTACCACCATTACACATTTCCACCACTATTATTTTGAATTTTTCCAACCATCACCAAGTGTGCCCCAATAATTAGCACTGTAGAACTGTCGTCCCATTGTTCATTGATTTGCTCGAGTGGCACCAGTAACATCTCCATTGTGAGACTTATTGTTACTGTTTTTGGCATATCGAATATGCCACGGTAGCTTGCCAGGCTCTGCCATGTGGGCGAGATATTCTCGGTAGCTTGCCGGGCTCTCCAAGAGGAACAGAAGAATCAAACCTGGGTAGCCACATGCAAGGCAAACGTCCTTCTGGACTGTTTAAATAATTCGCTAAAAATGATAAAAAAATATTTCCTTAGAAGAAAGTGTGTGCAGAATGTTTTATCTCATCCTGGAGTTATTAAACCTTTGTATAAGAGATTACTAGCACATTGTTACAAGTTAACCTGTGTGTAGTAATTAATATTAGCACTGTAGCTAATCCTCCCGTTGATCATTGATTTGCTCAAGCAGGCCCAGTAATGTCTCCATTGTGAGACTTGTTGTTATTGTGTTTGGCATATCAAATACATCACAGGTAGTAGCTTGCCAGACTTTGCCGTGCAGGCGAGATACTCTTGGTAGCTTGCCGGGCTCTCTGAGAGGGGTGGAGGAATTGAACAGGGGTCGGTGCGGTCGGCTGAGTGCAAGGCAAATGCCCTACCTGCTGTGCTATCGCTCCAGCTTATTTTCTTAATTGAGATTGGTTCCCTTCTACTTTACATCCCATCCATTGTGATGTGCTACTTCCGGTACATCAGTAGTGTACTGTATAAGATATTGCTCCAGGAATTCTAAAATTTTGAATGGGGTGATATAGCTGGAGTTCATTTTTTAAAAATTTTTGGTCACACCTGGCGATGCACAGGGGTTACTCTTGGCTCTGCACTCAGGAATCACCCCTGGCAGTGCTTAGGGGACCACATGGGATGCCAGGAATTGAACCCGGGTCGGCCAGGGTGCAAGGCAAACGCCCTACCCTCTGTGCTATTGCTCCAGCTCCCAAGGGAGTTAAATTTTTAATGGATGGTGACTTTGGGGTCCAGAGGCATCTATGCAAGTTGTTGATCTCTTCTGAGATTTATTTATGAGTCTCTGGATCATGGCCCCTTAAGTGGATTCTTTCTTTCTCTCTCTATTCCTCCTGGTGGGATTCAGTGAAATGGAGATCCTGAAAGGAAATTGGAGATCAGAGAAGAGCATTAGGGACTTTAACTTCCTGGCTCTCCCTGCCAGGATTGAGATGACTATATCAGTCTTACTCAAGTCTTGGAAATCCTTTGTTTGAGGACTCTTTTCTGTATCTACAGCTGCAACTACAGCTGCTTCCAGAGTTCCAGAAGTTTCACCTTCTCCTTTTCTTTCAGGCTTAGAGATAAAAGCTCACTCTTATTCCTTTCTTTGGAGGCTAGTGGTCACTATCTCATGCAACTTTCTTATTGCTAATATAAGAATTACAGAAGGATATTTATAAATCTATTGTATGTTAAATGCAGTATCAAATTAATTAATCAATTGCAGTTATTCGTTTCAAACCCAACACCTAACATATCCCAGGTGAGAACTTTGCTGTGATGTATATCTCCTTGTACCTAGTCATCCCTTTTTGGGCCTTCTGTTTTCTTCTGTGCTCCTAAGTAATAAGTAAAGAAAACAAGGCTGGGTTATTCACAGTGTTTCAGCTTTGGAATACTTAAATGTAAATTACCTTTCTCCCTAAATTATTATTATTTATTATTTTTTCTCCCTAAATTATTAAAGAAACACACTAGAGCATGATTTCACTTTTGTTGGTTAATTAATTTATGCTTTAATTAAATCACTGAAACACAGTGACAAAGTTGATCATTGTTGGGTTTCAGTCATTCAATGTTCCAACACCCATCCCTTAACCAGTGTAACATTTCTCACCACCAATGTTCCCAGTTATCCTGCTACTCACCTGCCATGCCCCTGCCTGTCCATGATTTCACTTTGAGTGGTTGTGATGAAAAGAAGAATGAAGAGAGGATGTGATAAGTGAACTGTCTTGAATCATTAACCCACTGTTGGGGAATACAAGCACTCAAGAGTTTCTCATAGGGAGCTTATATTCACTTCTTTATTTTTATCTGAGTTTCTTAACTCCAGAACACTTTATCCTCAAGTAGAAAACCCAATCATAGACTTAGAAAGAAGTAGCTGATAAACATACTTGATTTTTATTCTTCTTGCTGCAGGTGACAAGTTGTCCTGTGATGATGAGAAAAACTTCCTGGAACTGGCAGGCATCAGAGGACAGTTGTTTGCCCAGAGAGGAGCCTCCTTCTATTGGAGGGTGAGACCTGGTTCTGGAGAGAGGTTTATCAAGATGCTGGTCAACCCTTCTGATTTCCTGCAAAGGATCTGCTGGCAACTGTGAGTGTGCTATCCTCTGAGGCATGCCATCATAAAGTATGCTTTTAGTACTGGGTTAAGTTTTATCCCCATATCTCAATCTTACTACCCCACCCATCCATTCTTTCCTGCAAATGATTGCTGCTTTGGAGTCCTTGCTGCCAGCTGTGACCTTGGGCAGAAATGCCATCTAGTGTGAGCTTGAATCAGGAGGAGTTATAACTGGACCCCAGCGGCCCAACCTGGCTCAGCCTCCCCCAAAGGAAAAAAAATCAATTGCATAAACTTACTAGTCAACTCTACAGAGTGCCAGATAAGAAAACAAAATCTCAATAATTTATGACAAATAAACACTGTCTTCCAGTTGTTCATGGATTTGCTCTAGCAGGCCCATTAATGTCTCCATTGTGAGACTTGTTGTTACTGTGTTTGGCATATAGAATATGTCATAGGTAGCTTCCCAGGCTTTGCCGTGCAGGCGAGATACTCTTGGTAACTTGCCGGGCTCTCCAAGAGGGGTGGAGGAATCGAACCTGGCTTGGCTGGGCTGGCGGCTTGCAAGGCAAGTGCCCTAACACTGTGCTATCAACTGAGAAGTATCTTCAATAAAAAAGTATTGGGAAAATGATAGCCACATGCAAAAGAATGATATAAAGATCCATCATTTCATACCATGGACCCAAACTCAAAATGATACTAAAGAATTGGATGCTACATAATACTTCAGACAAAGCATTAATATCCAAAATCTATAAAACACTCCATAGGATCAACAACCAAAAAAAAGCCAGCAACTCCATAAAAATGAGAAGAAGAGATGAATAGAAACTTCAACAAAAACAAGTAGATGGCCAATAAGACATAAAAAAGTGCTCATTATCACAAAGTATCAAAAAATACTAAGGGAAAAATAAAAAAGGATAATGAGATATCACCTCACACTAGTGAAAATAACACACATACACACACAAAATAAGCTGGAAACAAGTTTTGGTAGAGGTGTAGTATAAAAGGAACCTTTATTCACTGCCATTTGGTTGTGGGAATGTCGCCTAATCGAGCTTCTTTGGAGAACTGTATGGATATTTTTCAAAGAAATGGAGTCCCCATTTTCCACATTCGACCCAGCTAGCCCACTTTTTGGCATCTAACCACTAATAAGAAAATGTTAACTGAAACATAAATTTTCAACTTACTTTCATTGCAGCTCTTAGTACAATACCCAAGATATGGAAGCAACATAAATGTCCCCAACAACAAATGAACGGATGGATTGATGAAGAAGGAAGTTGTGGTCAACATACAAAATAGAAAATACTATGAAGTGACACAAAAAATTGTTATGCAGTTTGTGGCAACTTGGATAGAACTGGAGGATACGCTGAGTGAGATAAAAGCCAGATATGAGACAGAAGGACAAAGGCAGGATTTTATCACTGCAATATCTGTGGTATAGAAAGAAACAAATAAAGGGCATTGATAATATCAATTTATAGTAAGACTTGGAATACAGTTTGAAAATGTAGATTTGGGAATAGGGGCTGGAAGGAACAAATAGGTTCACTGGAAGTACACAAGTTCATAAGTGGAGGACACGGGTGATACTAAGGGAAGGAACAATACACATCAAAAGCATTCCTGTCAATTGACAAAGAATGGGGGGATGGGTAAAAGAGAAGCAAGGTTGCACCAGGGGTGACATGGAGGGTCATGAGTACTTTGGTAGTGGTGATTTGCTGTAACTCTGTACATAAATATCATGAAACGAAACACTATTGTAATCATATTACCTAAACTAAAAATTTTTAATGGAAAATGTATACTCTTCACCATTGGCCAGGGCTGCGGTTCAGATGTAGATTGTTTCAAATAAGTGAGGTGTGAAATTGAGAACCAAGTCCCAGTTCTACACTTACAAAGCAAAACAAAACAAATCGTCTGGCATAACAGATCCAAATGGTGCACAAATGTTAAAAAGGACATATTTGACAAACCCATAGCTAACATCATATTCAACAGCAAAAAAACTGTAAGCCATTTCATAAGATCCTGAACTAAACCAGGATAGAAACACAATCACTTTAACTCTTCAACATATTTTGAATGTCATAAGAGCAACTAGGCAAATAAAAGAAATGCAAACATAATTTGAAATGTAAAACTATCCATTCTTAATGTGATATGATGGCATAACTGGTTTGCTTACAATAGAGAAAAATGCAATTTTACCCTTATGCATTTCAAGATGAAAATTAACTATTTCACTGATACACTTTCCCCCATACAATAAAATGGGACTCAGCTTTAACAAGGGACAAAACACTAATAAAGGAAATTAAATGACATGGTTAACCCCCCACAGCATTTTACTGAGTGAAAAGAAGCAGCAGAAAGAAAAAAGAACAATATGATCACAAGTATATATGAAGTGAAATGTCAGGCAAAATTTTTTGGTCTAATTAAGATGAACAATAATAACTCTGGGTCATGATAAGAAGCAAACAGGTGAGGATCTCTTAAAGGTATTGAGAACAGTTTGGTTGGCGTTTGAGTCACTTGAGTGTAGTCATTGCCGAAACACATCAAGCTGCAGTCTCCCGTCCCTTTTTTAATGAATCATTGTGAGATACACAGTTACAAAGTTGTTTACGATTGAGTTTCAGTCATACAGTGCTCCAATACATGCCCTCTCCCCCCCAAAAAAAACAATGTTCCAATACCCATGTCTTCAACATATTCTGCCACCAGTGTCCTCAGTTTCCCTCCTACCCACCCTGAAGTCTGCCTCTATAACAGACACTATTCTTCTCTCTCTGTCTTCTTTCTTTCTTTCTTTCTTTCTTTCTTTCTTTCTTTCTTTCTTTCTTTCTTTCTTCTTTCTTCTTTTTTTTCCATTTAGGCACTGTGCTTTGCAATGCTGTTACTGAAAGTTTATTATGTACATCACTTCACCTACTTTCAGCTCTCTTCCTGTCTAGAGTGATCATTTCTAGCTATCATTGTCAAAGTGATATGATACTGTCCTAACAGTGATAATCTTACTACCATAGACCAGTCCTCCTACTCTCTTTGGGTATTATTCTCATACTGTTTTTTAAACACTCCACAAATGAGTGATATCATTCTGTCCCTCTCCTGACTCAATTTCCATCCATTTATAAGCAAATTTCATGACTTCATTTTTTTTTAACAGCCGTGTAGTGTTCTATTGTGTAGATTTACCTTAGTCTTTATCCAATCATCAGACTCTTGGGTTGTTTCCAAATTCTGGCTACTGTGAATAGTGCTGAAATGAACATCAAACCACATACAGTTTTGATATTCATTGAGATATGCTTATAATTATGCTTCAAAAACTATGATTAAAGATGTAGTATTTACATTTATTTATCATTTAGTGAACAGGTACAAAAGCTTTTGATGCAATTAGATTAATGACAAACACTTTGAGTGTTTTGAGTGTTGTAAAACACACCAAAAAAATCAGACACGAAATCAAAATTTTACTCCAGAAAAATAGTGTCTAGTAAATACACTGGAAACCTGTCGTGAAGGATTACAGAACCTAGAGAGGGAGAATCAGGGTGCAGGCAGAGGTGCAGAATAGGTAAATTTGGAATTAACTTGAGGCAAGGGAACAGAGGCCACAAGAATACAACTACCTAAGATTATTGATATGTTTTGAGATTACTGGTCTGGCTATAAAATTTAATTTTAGGCATAAAAAGTTGAAACTGATGAAAGTAGCAAGCTAAATTATTTCAAGTAAAATAAGGTAAATGATTTAACTTATTTTTTTGTGTGTGGGACACACTGGTGGTACTCAGGGCTTACACTTGACTCTTCAGTCAGAGATCACTCCTGGCAGGGCTTGGAGGACCTTAGGGGATGGCAGTGATCAAACGAGTTGGCCATCTGCAACTATCTCTCTAACACAAGATTTTATTTTATTCTTTGTAGAAAATAATCTCTATTATTCATCAAGTTATTTATCAATCAACATGTATCAAGTTAGAGAGATATACTAAAGCCTCTGGATACAAGGAAGGCTTTGTGATCCTCGCTTGAATTTATTTCTTTTAGTTTTCTCTAAAGTTTATAGAAATGTAATGAAAGACTTTTGTCAAAACTGTTAATATTCTCTGACTACCCCCTCAAATAAACTCACCATAAATAAATCTAGTTATTGTTCTCCCTGTTTCCAATCTCTGCAGTGGGAGTATTTTTCAAAGTGGGACAGTCCTTACTAAATATTTGTTTACTAAAACTCACTTGAGATGGGGTGAATGATAAGATTCAGGTTGAGAGTCTGTCCTCAGATGTTACAGTCATAGCTGTGTCACACGATCCTTAGGAGGAGGATTATCTTGACTGTTTTAGGAGTAGGATCCCAAATTCTGAGAAAAATAAGGAAAACCTCCCAAATTGAAGGGACAAAGTTGGTCTCAAAATCACATCACTATGGTCAAGTCAGCGACTCCTAATTAGGACATGTGACTGTTTCCTGAGGTCTCCAGGGTCTCCTTTAGGAGGGCTACCTTTATTTTTATCCACAATAGGGACATCCTGAAAAGCCCTCTGCAGAATAAACTTAAGAGAGCATCTTTGTTTCAGTTGCTTCTGCCTATAAGAGCCAACAAAGAAGTAAATGATAGGGTTGGCACAGCTGTTGATCCAGACTAGTACATACATAGCTCGATTAAGTGTGTAGGAGAACATATCAAGCTTTTCTAGAAACCAGTATAAAAGGAACCAGTGGATGCCCCACGGCAGGCCGCAGAGGAGGAAGACCAGCACTGTAAGTCCAATGGTCATATACAGCCTGGTCAGCTTTATCTGCCGAGAACCACACAACAATTTGATCAACAAGACCAGGCTGGACCCAGAGAGAAGCGCACATGAAAAAATCAAACAGCTATGATGATATTAATCTGCCGCCACAAATTTCTATCATAATTTCCAAATAGGATGCCACAGTATTTCTCATTAAGTGTGGTCAACAGCAGGGAAAAAGCCCAGAGCATGGCACACAAAATAGCTGAGATG